TTTAAACATTTGACATTGTAAGTTCTGGAGTAGTTTCACTATGAAAGATTATCAAAATGTGGTGGATGAATTTTAAAGGAACTGTACGTTTCTTTTAGTACCTTTGTTCATCCCCTTCACACATGTCATGTAGCAAGACATAGTACTTGAGTGTGTTAGGAATAAACCACTTGGGATTAGTGTATTCTCCACTGTGCTGAATTCTGTGCTGCTCCTGAGAAAGCTTGAGGAACTGCTCCACAGGGACTGCCTCAGTGGATGATACCACTAGCAGGCCTGCCAGAACCATGTGAAGGATACAACAATAAATAGACTACATATAAGGATACTACTATTAATAATACAATAACGGAAAGCACAAGCATACAAAGGAGGAAAAAAAACTGTCTTAAAATTTTTACAGATCCTAAATTCCAGTTTGTCAGCTCTTCTATTTGGAAAAAAAAAGCTGACGACAGAATGTTGACCACTGGTCAGATCTGTGTGCTGTTAAAAGGATACAAGCAAGGTAATGATTGAGGAACTCGTGGTCAGAGGCAGGCATTGACTGCAGGAAGTTCTCCCTGTAGGCTTCAAACCAGGGCGTGGTTACTTGAAATAGAAAAAAGACAAAATAGACAAAAGACTTAAAAAAAAAAGCCAGAAAAATTAGGTAGTTTCTAATACTACATGTAGATTAAAAGATAACCACTTTTGAATGTTTTTGTTTGAAAAACATGGACGATAAACTAAAGATAAAATGTCTTGTCAACACAGCAGCTTCAATGAGTCTTGGCCTTAAGACTTAAGAATCGCTGGAACAATTTATTCCTTCATCTGGTGTTTTGATGATGCACATAGAGAGCACCGGATTAACAGTGGATTAATCACACAACTCCAATGTGGAACATGCCATTCCTTTACCACATGTACCAGTAAAACCATCATGTGAGGTGATATTTCAGTCATAATTATTAGACCTTCATAGCTGACATACATTAAAAGATCATTTACACAGGGCTCAAATGTAAATAACAAGAATTATACTTACTCAGAAACGGTTACAAATTCACTCAAATTAGGCCATGAAATATGCGTTTGACCAAAATATCCTTAATTTACTCACTGTTTGATCTAGAAAAAAAGTCTACACTTCCTCATCTGAAAATGTAACTAACCACAAATCCTACTTTTACACTTATGTGATGAGTGTGATTAAGTAGTACATGTAATTTTTTGCTCTGTTGTTTTTTTTATCTGCCATAATGTCTAAAATAACTAGTCACTGATACAGTTTTATAATCCCGGCATTCTTAATTTATGTATAAAATAACTGGCTGCATCCAGTGGTACCCCTCAGTCTCCTAGCAGACACACCTATGTTATTTCAAAAATCCTCTGTGACTTGTTTCTCAGATGGCCCTGAGGTCAAGGTAACTGAGATTAAAACTCATCTGAGATTTTGTTTTGTACCCATGTTATCAGTTTTCATTCTCGGGTTTAATCTGCCCTGGACAAACAGTATGAGGCGGTGCTCCGCAACTCTTTTACTTCAGCTACCTCCCATTTCTTGTGAACAATTGAGAATGCTTGGGAGAAAAAA